ATGGTTGGCTGGTTTATTAGGTTTGAAGACTATCTGCACCACGAGGGTTATCAAGGCTGCGTATCTCAATGACATTTTGATTCTTTACTAAACAGTGATCTATACCTCAAACAGCTTAAAATCAACTCTCAGCGCACATACACTGATATACACACACCTCTCCATGTGTATAAACACATCCACACATACCTCGCCATGTATATACGAAGATATGGACATCTGTGTGTGTATTGTGGTGCATCTGCGTGTATATCATTGGAAGTTATATATTAATATAGCCATGGGAAGCGCTAAACCTGTAAGGGTCATACAGCGCTGGTGGGGATGGAATATATTTGTGATCTAAGGAATGAGAGGGGCAGCTCCAGTTCCTTGGATCAAAAGGCTCTTCACCAGCATCAAGGCCCTCAAGGGTGTTTAGTTTAAAGACTATCGACTGCACGATGGCATTCTCTTCTTATTTTATAACGTCATTTTTTTCGACGTTTCATGTATTTTTTTCTATAAATTGTGTTTTCTTTATCGAATGTTAATTGAGGTTACGTTATATAAACCTATATTTAATTTCAAATAAATTCGGAAAAAATACCCATCGATACGTCTGGCACCGAGCTGGTTCAGGAATGAATAAGAAGCGTTGAATGTTGGACGTTTACAAATCACTGAACGGCAGGGTTTTGAACCCAGTGCGTTAAGGCATAGGCCAGTGCGCTAACACACTGGCCTGTGAGTTTTAAGACTCACTTTCCATGGGTTTAAACCCCACCCGTTCCGTGATTTGTTTGCAATCGTGTTATCAGGATTTCGTAAATCTTGAACAATTACGAACAGTGGTGTGCAAGGGTGACCTGAGAGAGCGTCACTGTGGCTGCAGGTCACCTCTACAAGGATAATTTGACTCCCTACAATATAAGGATTAAGACGCGCGTGAGTTTCTCTGTTTCCTAATATGTTTATTTTTCCCCTATAATCTACCTTGTCCATAATTACTATCGCATTTGCTTGTCTGCTCCCGTAAGGTGAAGTGTAGGATCTTACCTTAATTCATGGTATAACTTAACAAATCTTTGCAGAGGTCTAAGCAAAGCTCAGACGTCTGGAGCACAATTATCATTAAAGATTTGTTAAGTTATACCATGAATTAAGTAAAGATCCTGGACTTCACCTTACAAAAGCAGATAAGCAAATGCAATAGTAATTATGGACAAGGTAGATTATAGGGGAAAAATAATATATTGTTAGTTTAAGGGGAACTGACGTTCCCCTTAAACTCACAACATAACATATACAGAGATAATCAACTCTTGGTGTTTATATCTTTTGTGATTAAGGAAAATAGTTTTTTTATTATCTGTAATTACTTCTTAAATGTATTTAATTTATATAATTACTAATATCACTCACAAAGTTCGTTCTTTGGATAATCAAACTAACATGAAAAATTTGTATACGAAAATAGACATTTTTTTTTTTATGGGTGTTGACTGGAAAGCCAGAGGAAGACCTCAATCACCTGACCAGAAGCTCCAGTTAGCGGCTCATCATTGGACTAAAACCCGCTTCAGGAAGCACTTGGTTTCCTGACGAGTGAATTATCACCACCATCACCACCACCACCACCAGCACCACCACCAGGGCAAGTCCACGACGTCAGACTCCAATAATTATTATTTAATTATTATTATTATTATTATCATTATTATTATTATTATTATTATTATTATTATTACTGGTATATTATTTATACTCATGTTGTTCCATTAAAGCGTAGGGGGTTATACAGCGCATGGGAAATGAGAATAACCCAAAAAGGAGTGAGCTTAAATTCCTTCCCACCTTTGATGTCAAAAATATTGAAGAAAATATTATGAACTAGGAGTCAGGAAGCCATGCGACCTGCCTAGCATAAACCGATGGAAACAGTAAGCCCCTGCTATATAGAGGTTGTACCTTCACCCCCCCCCCCTCCATAGATCATCCATCCAGTGACTAGCCAGACCTAGCGGTGCTTCACCTGGCTTAGTTAGCAACGAGTATCTCACCCATAGCGCTGGGACGAGTACAGATGTAATTAATATACGTGAGAAGATGAGTGGATCGTGACACGTGTAGCTAGAGGACGAGTGAGCGAAGTAAACTGTGCAAAATGTGCGCTGGAAAGGCTAAACGGAAAGGTACAAATAGATTGAAGATAATCTGAATTCACACAAATTGGAAAGTGAAACCAGATATTTCGGACTGTCCTGTACTACTATCAGTCTGCGTGAGGCAGCGGCGGCGGCAGTGGCTACCTACCTAGCGTATCCATTCGTTGTGGTGTGGGCGGTGGCTGGTGGTGGTGGTTATGATGGTGGGAACCTTGTAAGAATGCCCTCCACAGCCCCTCGGGCGTGGGAGGAGTCCGTTCCTCTAGCAAGGACGCTGTCTCCTTTCCAAGGCCGCCGGCGCCCATAGACAGCATCTTCAGAGGCGCCTCGCTTGACATAAGGTCCATCGTCATGTTGAGAGCGGTCAAGTTTTGGAGTAAACCCGAAGGATGCTTACGGAAGCTGAGGCCTTGTTAGTGATCGCAATAATTATTCACAAGTCCCCCATTAACAGGCAGGTGAGGCATTAGCAATCATATGTAACAGTCACCGATGGTTGGGTTCAAGACAGCAATGAGGTGTGCGAGGTGCACTGATCGCGGTGAGGAGGCTGCCGCCGTCACACGAACACCGCCCAATTTGTCGACTGATCTCCAGCATCATCTGTCTTGCTTCTCTCACACCCTCTGTGCCGAGTGCCAGTTAGCCACTGCCTGGCTGGAGTCCACTCCTGGTTGTCCCACTTACTTCTGTTAATACATTGACTTTCCGAACTAAAACTAACCAGTTACAAGGCTATCAGTGCGAGTATAACTACTTGAACAACACTCACCTAACAAAAGCATTATTTTATCATCACCTCACATGTAGTTGTCAACTGTTTGATTGTTTAGGATTGGTTCAGAGCAGCTGTGGAGGGAGGGGTGAGATTGGTGTTCTGAGGCAAGGGGCGGCCCCGGTGCCTCAACCCCATACAACACTAGCAATCCATCTTCTGCTTTAATACAAACGAACATTATCTCTATTAATGTATATATCCATAACATGATCACTGTTACCAGTAAATATTAAGAGTAATTATATATTTTGCATAACTTGCAAGCAATAACTAAACAGTAAATTAAGCGAAACTCTTAAAACAACTAGCCGGCATCCCCAGAAGAGAGGCGGAGCGAGAGATAAGTGACTTTATTGGCATTTTTACTACCCCCGTTTGGAATGCAATTTGGGAAGGAACTGGGCAATTTGGTAAGCTGCCTATCCTATGTATGCCTAAGCGTCCGTGATGGAACAAAATGAGCATGGGGAACCACATTTTTCTTATAAAACAAGACGCGGAGTTATAAAAAATATATAATAATCGCTGTCGCCCAGGACTGAAACTTGTGTGCCGTTATTGAAGAAATCTCTGGCATAACTGACGTACCCACGGCTTGAGATTTCGTGGGAGGAGGATAAAATGGGGCCCAGAATGTTTCGCTCTGTTTACGGAGATGCTGAGCGGCGTCTTAGAGCTGGAGAGGCATTAACATAATCGATACTTCACGTCGTGGATTTTATTCGCGGTAGCGGGAGAGCGAAGGAAGGGGTAAGAGATGGGTGAAGGATGGGCGAAAGATGGGTGAAAGATGGGTGTGAAATGGGCGAGAGATGAGTATAGGATGGTTGAGAGATGGGTGAAAGACGGGTGAAGGATGAGGAATTAATGGGCAAAAATGAGTGAGATAAAGACGAAGGATGGGAGGCATGGATAAGGGATAGGAAGGATGGGAGTGGAATGGAGAAAAGGATGGTAAACAAACACAACAGAAACATTCCAAACAAATATGTAAACTCTGAAAATTAAAGGAAAAAGGCGTAAGCGCGTGCGTGCATGTATGTGTACTCACCTAGATAACTCACGAAATCGTAATGACACGATTGCTAACAAACCATACCACGGGTGGAGTTAGAACCCGCGATCAGAGCCACAAAACTTCAGACCGTCGCGTTAGCCACTGGACCAGCTAGCTAGCTGGACCCGTGGTTGTGGTTGCAGGGGTCGAGTCACAGCTCCTGGCCCCACCTCTTCATTGGCCGCTTCTGTGTGTGTGTGAGAGAGAGAGAGAGAAGAAACTCTCAGCAAAATTGCTGGCCACCTCAAGAGGTTCGTCCACCATCCCAGGAATTATTTCCTAGACATCTTTCTGATCTTATTCCATAGCTGTCCAGGAGTGTTAGAGTTAACCCACTCCACATAGCAGTCCAAGAACACAGGGTGAGGAGCATTTTTGAATGCCTTCGTTTTGATGGCCAACACCCGCTAGCATATCAGCTTTTTAACCAGTGAAAGTGGTTCTTGAGGAGATGATAGCAGTGTTTTTCAGTCTTTGTTTCAGAAGGGACTAGCCACGAGGCCACGAGGCCTGCTCTCAAACTGGGCCTCGGGGGCGTTGACCCCCGAAACCCTCTCCAGGCATACTCCAGGTATACCTCTTCTGCCTACAGGACAACACATCATGAAAAATCAAGGTCACAAAAAATCCCTGCTAATGCCTCATGGACTCGTCAGTTCGCAGCCTTCACAGAAAAGGGCAGAATGGGAGGATCCCGCTGACTGCAGGAGGATAGGGAAATGATACTACCATGTAGGTCTGGGAGAAAAAAATATCTGAAGTGCAGATATCCTGTACTAGAGGAAACCTTAGGTTTACTCTTGAGGTTCGTATGCATACTTCATTAGGTCAGATATTCATCATTCAGGATGCTATAATCCAAAAGAATCAGCAAGGACTCCATATGTACACCCCCCTCCTGTGTGGTACAAAGCTGCCAACCACATAGGGTGGTGGGCATAAGAATCACCCAGGAGGAGGAATGGCTAGGGTAGCTCACAGATTAGGTCAGTAAGAGAAGTCGAAAACCCAATCTGAAGAGAGATACAAGTAGCACACCATCAGGTCCTCTTGCAACCTCACTCCGATCGCCTCAGCCTACAGAGAGCTGTATAGTCGAATCTCACTGTGAGGGACAGTTGCACAGACCGAGATACCCACATCCCTTATGCAACTGCGCCAGGAGGGGGTGAAGAGGCATAAAAAACAAACCTGGAATAATCCTTCCATAATCTTCCTATCGTTCTGTACCAATGGTACAGAGGGAAAGGAATGGATGGTACTGTATTAGTGGTATAGTACCATCCATATGTTATGGTCGTTAATCATTATAAACTTTGTGAACCTGGAATACAGGTTCTATGTTCAGTCTCTTGCAGACATAAAACTGTCAGGAAACAATCTCAAAAGAGAACACAAATGATTTCAATATGGTCCTCAATGCCCCGACAATTCCATTGCACGAGATAATTAATCTAGCTAAAGAAGGACTAAGGAGCTCTCTTCCTCAGAGGGGATACTATTAATAGAGTCGACCCAGTCTACTACTATGGCTTGGCCTTTAGTCACTGACTGAACCTGCGAAATGTCAATCATCCAAAGGCTCAAAACAAATGGAAAATGGGAGGTCTTCTGGGAAGTGATCATTCTTTCCTTGAAAGAAAGGGCCACTTTATATCTGGGAACCAGACGCGTTTTAGTCGCTATCAAACGACTTCTTTAGGAGAATCAAGTGCACCATCCCAACCAGAGACAGAGGACCAGCTTTCTGGGAAGTCTTTGTCTCCTCCTTAGAGTCTGAGAACGACCCAGACCCCTAAGATGGTGAAGTTTCCGACTTAGGCTATCACTTTGTGTGGACATGCGCGCACGCCCGTATGTGTGCGTGTATGTGTGTGTGTGTGTGTGTGTGTGTGTGTGTGTGTGTGTGTGTGTGTGTGTGTGTGTGTGTGTACTCACCTAATTGTGGTTGCAGGGGTCGAGACTCAGCTCCTGGCCCGCCCCGCCTCTCCTTTGTGTGTGTGTGTGTGTGTGTGTGTGTGTGTGTGTGTGTGTGTGTGTGTGTGTGTGTGTTGTGTGTATGCAATACTAAATCCGTGAGGGCTATTAAGTGCAAGGAATGGAGGAGGCTCAATCCTCCGTCAGCTAAGTGCAGGACTGAGGAACAGCAGGGGAGAGAGAAAGAGATGCACGGAGGCTGCGAGAATCTAAGACGGAGACGCACTCAAGTATGTTCTGTTCACAGAGTGTTGACTCCTAAGGTATGAAGTCCCTTACCTGGAGTTTACCAGCCTAGAGGGTATTCTGGGGATCAACGCCCCGGCGGCCCGGTCCATGACCAAGCCTCCCGGTGGATCAAGGCCTGATCAACCAGGCTGTTACTGCTGGCCGCACATAGTCCAACGTACGAACCACAACCCGGCTGATCCAGCACTGACTTTAGCTATCTGTCCAGCTCCCTCTTGAAGACAACCAGGGGTCTATTAGTAATTCCCCTTACGGATGGTGGGAGGCTGTTGAATAGTCTAGGGCCCCACCCACTTATTGTGTTTTCTCTTAGTGTATTAATGGTGCGCCTACTTTTTACTGGGGGTATGTTGCATCGCCTGCCAAGTCTTTCGCTTTTGTAGGGAGTGATTTTTTTGTGCAGATTAGGGACCAGTCCCTCCAGCATTTTCTAGGTGTAGATTATCACGTATCTCTCTCGCCTGCGCTTCAATGAGTACAAGTCGAGTACTTCCAAACGTTCCCAGTAGTTAAGGTGTTTGATGGCACTTATACGTGCAGTAAAGGTTCTCTGTACACTCTCTAGATCTGCAGTTTCACCTGCCTTGAATGGATATGTTAATATACAGCAGCATTCCAGCCTAGAGAGAACAAGTGATTTAAAAAGGATCATCACTGGCTTGGCATCTCTTGTCTTGAATGTTCTCATTATCCATCCTATCAGTTTCCTCGCAGATGTGATAGTGGCATTGTTGTGGTCCTTGAAAGTGAGATCCTCAGACATTACCACTCCCAGGTCCTTCACATTACTTTTCCGCTCTATTGTGTGATTAGATTTTGTAGTATACTCAGTTCTAGTTAATATTTCCTCCAGTTTTCCATAACGGAGTAGTTGGAATTTGTTTTCATTGAACATCATAGGTGCGAGTACTGTGGCGTGTGGAAGAGAGCTCTTCACTATGGCAGCTTCCGATTTAACTCTGTTTACCACTACTCTTTGTGTTCGATTTATTAGAAAGTTGAAGATCCATCTGCCTACTTTGCCAGTTATGCCTTTAGCACGCATTTTTGTGTGCTTTTACACCATGGTCACACTTATCAAAAGCTTTTGCAAAATCTGTGTATACTACATCTGCATTCTGTTTATTTTCCAGTGCATCCAAGACCATATCATAGTGGTCCAGTAGTTGCCCTGGAATGTGCAACTGTTGAGAGTCTAAGTGGTTTGCAATCCTGCTTCTTAGAATTCTTTCAGAGTTTTTTTATATGGGACGTTCTTAGCTATTGCTTCGCTGCCACCTTTATGGACTGGG